ATTCACATGCATAATATAAAAGAACAGTAATATATATATACATATAGATATATATAGATATATATAAACTCGTTCTTTCTGATGAACTGCCGAGCTGAGAGACGTGGTGGTTATATCAATAAGCCTAGTTAGCCTACTTACTGGGACCGCAAATCTGCCCTACTTGTGGTTTTTGGCTCTCCGGACTCTATTTTTGGTCAGTGTGTTTGACCTTCAATCGCTTGTATACCTGTAGAACGTTAGGTCTCTGTATGTTTGACGTTTGATCGCAAGTACATCACTAATTTGTTCTCCCATCTCTTGTGTTCTAAGCACTCGTAACCACAATGATAATTATGTTATCTGAGTTATCATCATCATCATCATCGTTATGATTAATCATGATTGTTTTAATTAAGTGTTTGATCGCTGGTACGGCACCTGTGAATTAAGCGCAAACTGAGATGGTATGGGCACATAACAAGATCAACAGGACTTGCAAAGATGATCCTACAGGGCACCGTGCGAGGAGGGAGAAGGAAAGATAGACAGAAAAAGAGATTGGAAGACAGCATAGAGCTAGAGGAATGGACAGAATTAAAGTTGGGTGAAGCCATTCGAAAGGCTGGAAACAAAGAAAGATGGAGAAAAGTGGTTGCCCGTTCATCCTTGGTGCCCCAACGGTCAACTAGACTAAGTGAAAAGTCAAGTTTAAAATGAAATAAAATAAGAGAGAAAGAGATAAGATGATACTTAATTATCCGAGCGGGGAATTTTTCTTGGCTGTACAAGACCGTAAAAACACATGCAGGTATACATAAAAATGTAAATGATATATTACTCTCATTAAAATTCAATATGAAAAGAGAAGTAAAGCTGACAAAATGTACATTTCACATCAGATGCATCATTCAACCACATGCAGGAATTTAATTACAAGACCTTTAGAGTTATATAGATACATATTCGAAAGAGTAATTCGCATTGATGCTTATTCTGACAATAACCTTATGCTAGATGGTAATAAACTTCTTTTATATCTTTCTCTCTTTGTTTTTGGAGGTACATATCTGCCGCTGCGTGATCTTACAATCAGCGTGGAAAGGGGTTGTGATGGGTCGTTTATAACGCTTTTTATCTATTTTTATACTTGTGGTGTTATACCTTTCATCAGTTCTAGTAAAATCATAATCAGAGATCTTGCTGGCTTTCTTTGTTTTTAGAGGAACGAATAACGACACAGTGGGAGATGAAACAACACTGTTGTTTCCAGCGACACTCGCTGTCACAAGGCGGCGCTGTTAGGTCAGCTGGTACAACGCTGTGACGTCTGTGCTCACGACCCAGGTTCCAATCTAGACGCTGAGCACACCAACAACCCAAAATATAATCAACCCACCCTCCCCCCGACTTTCCCAAAAAAAATTTAAAAGGAAAAGAATATTAAAAAATAATCAAACAAACAAAACTAAAAAACAACAAATATTTTAAAAACTGAACTTTTTGGGGCATAATGTGAAGGCTACATACACTATGAACAATAAACAAAAAGCAAACAAGCAAAAAGTTTTTTTAAAAACCCCCAAAAACCTTGTTGACACAACGTGAAGGCAACACACCCTGTTTTCCTGTTTTTCCTGCTATTTTTTCTTTAATTTGTTTTTGTTTTCCCCTCGTCAGAACTGACTGCCCTAGGAGAACACAACAGGACACTTCTCTGACGAGTTGATGAGCCGGAAGTGAAAGACGAACGTAGTTTGGAACATGTCGCCGTGAGGTCTGCAATCCTAAATCTTCCGGGCAGAGAAAGTGAGATCTCGAGACATCTTTGGGTGGCGAAGTGACGTCATAATCTACCCTCGACCCACGGAGCAATACTCATTGTTATATTACAGAGTTTTATTTCCTGAGATCGACTGGGAATTGTTTCTTCTGAGGGTTTTCTTTCCTGACATCGACAGGGGATTGTTACGTTCGAAAGTTTTCTTTCCTGATATCTACAGGGAATTGTTACGTTACTGAGTTTTCTTTCCTGACATCGACAGAGAATTGTGATGCATGGGCCATTATTATAAGCCCGCTTGCTGGGGAATTCTGGGAACGTTCTCCACTGTTTACTGAGATCTTAGTCGCTGTTGACCTTGCCAATCTGAATAAACATTTGAGAGGGAGCAAGCAACTTTCAACTCAACTGTTACGTTTTATATTTATTTGTCTATTCGCTTACGTTTCTTTATTTATTTACCGTTTTACTTATTCCTTTATTTATTTGTGTTTTATTAATCTATTTATTTATTCATTTATTTATTTGTTTATTCATTCTTATCTATTTATTTATTCGTGTATATATATATATTTGTTTATTTATTTATCTATTTATTTATTTATTTGTCTATTTATTTGTTTATTCATTCATTTATCAGCATTTAAGACAATGATGCCCCTACTCCTACCTCACAACACGTGAGTCCATACGTCCAATGAGAGCAACAGACAGAATACCAACCTACCACTCATCAAACTACAGTAGTTCATTCGACTCCTCCTGTTCTAAACATATCTCCTCGAAATGACGAGCACACGCTTTGACTTCACCGTGAAGATCATCGTGCTAGGAGACAGGAGTGTGGGCAAGAGCTCCTTCCTGGCCTTGCTGGCTGACCACGACCCTGACGTCACGGGCTCCCCCACCAGGTGTCTGGACTACCGGCCCAACGGTCACGTGGAGATGGACATGTGCAAGAACGGCAAGAGGATCCTGGCCAAAGTGGCGGACACTGGGGGTGTGTTCTCTTTCTACGATTGTTTGGTGGTTTGGTATTTGTTTTGGGGTTCTTGTGGTTGGTTGTCTGGGGGTTTTTTTGGTTTCTTTGTTTTGTTTGGTATTGGTTTGGTTGTTTGTTTATTTGTTTGTTTTCTTGTTTGGTTGAAGAACGAGAAGAGAATCCTGGTCAAAGTGGCGGATACTGGGGGTGCTGTTCCTACAATTGTTTGGTGTTTTTGTGTTTGTTTTGTGTTTGTTGGGGGTTTTTTTGACCTTGTTGTGTATTGTTTTGTATTGTTTTGTTGTTTGTTTGATTTTTTCTTTCTTGTTTGGTTGTTTGGTTTCTTTTTTTTTGCCTTCTTGTTCGGGTGTTTGTTTGTCTTTTGTGAGGGGTTTGTTTGTTTGATTGGTTGACGAGTAAAATTTTTATTTTGTTTTGTTTTGTTCTTTCTTACTTTTTTTCAGAAGGAGAGGTTGGGCAATAATTACAAATGCACTCGATTCTACTCAAACAACCACCTATCCAAGAGATTCACCTTTACAAATGACACCCCCCACCCCTATTCCCTTGTTTAGTTTATCTGTAGGCCTATCATAATGACAGTTCCCCAGACGAACACCTCTCTAAGACGCCCACTGTTCTCCTCCACTACGTGTGGTCGTCTTGTTCATCTCAGACTGTATTTTGGATATTTTGTTGGATGTGTTATAATAGATTTACGAAAGAATGAAAAAATAAATGATTGGAAAATGATGATTGAATGAAATAACAAATGAATGGATGTAAAAGAAATGAATTTATGCTACAAAATAATGCAAGATTGAAATAACAAATAAATGAATGTAAACTTAGTACATGTCTGCTATAAGAATAATGAATGAATAGAATAACAATAAGTTGTTGTTGTTGTTTTCAAATAATAAGAAAACGAGTATAAAAGAAACGACTGTATGCTTAAAAAATAATGCGTAAGTGAAATAATAGATCTAACTGAATGAATGTAAACTAAATAAATGTCTGCTATAAGAGTAATGAATGAATTAAATAATAGGTAGACTAATGTAAGAGAAATGACTGTATACTATAAAAAGAATGAATGAATGAAATAATAATAAATGAATACAAAATAAATAAATAAACGCATGCTGTAAAAATACTGAATGAATGAAATAATAAGTAAACGAGTATAAAAGAAACGACTGTATGCTTAAAAAAATAATGCGTAAGTGAAATAATAGATCTAACCGGATGGATGTTAACTAAATAAATGTCTGCTATAAGAATAATGTATGACTGAAATGATAAATAAATGAATGTTAAAGAAATGACCGCACTCAATGAAAACTATGCATAAATGAAATAATGAATGTAAAAGAAACTTCTGTATGCTCTAAAACAACGCATAAATGAAATAATGAATAAAAGGTTGTAAAAGAAATGACTGTATGCTGTAAAATTAATAAATGGAAGATATAGTAAATGTATGAATGAAAACAAAATGACTACATGACTTAAAATAGTGAATAAATGAAACAATAAACAAATGTAACAGAAATGACTTCCTTCCATGAAATAAATGCATAGATGAAAAAATATATAAATAAATAAACAAATAAGTGATGTAAAATAATAAGATAAATGTCTTCTATCTGGCTCAGGTCAGGAGAGGTTCCGAAGCATCACCGCCTCCTTCTACCGCGGCTCCCAGGGATGTCTTCTCATGTTTGACGCCGAGAAACCGGACACTTTCAGTCATGTGTACACCTGGTAAGTCATTTATATACCTGGTGAGTCATTTATATACCTGGTGAGTCATTTATATACCTGGTGAGTCACCTGTTTCCTTCGTTCATGTACCTGGTGAATCATGTATATACCTGGTGGGTCACCTGTTTCCTTCAGTCATGTATATACCTGGTGGGTCATCTGTTTCCTTCAGTCATGTATATACCTGGTGGGTCACCTGTTTCCTTCAGTCATGTATATACCTGGTGGGTCTTGTAATATTTCTGGTGGGTCATCTGTTTCCGTCAGTCATGTATAATACACCAGGTGGGTTCTCTTTTCTGTTTCCTTCAGTTACGTATATACCTGGTGAGTCATTTATATACCTGCAGGGTTACCTTTTGTGTCCTTCAGTCATGTATATACCTGGTGAGTCATTTATATACATGGAGGGTTACCTTTTGTGTCCTTCAGTCATGTATATACCTGGTGAGTCATTTATATACCTGGAGGGTTACCTTTTGTGTCCTTCAGTCATGTATATATACCTGGTGAGTCATTTATATACCTGGAGGGTTACCTTTTGTGTCCTTCAGTCATGTATATACATGGTGGGTCATTTATATACCTGGAGGGTTACCTTTCTGTTTCTCTCAGTCATGTATCTTGTGGGTCATGTATTATAACTAGCGGGTTCTCTTTTCTGTTTCCTTTTGTCGTGTATACATCTTGTGGGCCATATGCCTGGTGGGTTACTTGTCAGTCTTCTTGAGCCGTGTATACACCTGGTGATTCATCTTTCTCTTTTCTCTGAATCCTTTGAGGACGTAGCCGACACAACTGTATACATCGTGGGTGGTTGACGGGTGCTCTGATGTAGTTTGCTTCTTCTTTCCTATCCAACATCTATCGTCTTTATCTCCCCTTCTTCTTTTTTATGTTTGTTACTCTCTTGTAACACCTCTAATCTTCTGGCGCTCATGTGACCTTATGCAGTTGCGAGCGCCGTAAAATCTCTATTTTAAAAAAAAAAAAAATATTCTTCTAATCAGCCGCAGACTGGGGGCAATTTTGTGCCACATTATGTCGAACCACTGTACATCAACCAGAAACATGAATTTGCATATTTCGAAGGATGCTTGTCTTGTTACATTTCGGATGAAGGAAGCAATGGTGTAAAGATCAGAACGAATAACAACGTTATATATTTTCTTTTTCAAATTCTAAGTGTAACAAAACCGCTCCAAACGCCCAGGCGCTGTTGAGAGATCAGAGTATCAGAATACACGTAGTGCACAGAAAGTTGAAGCGGACGTCGCGTTAAGAACATTGTTCGAGTGTGTGGTGCTGCTGTCTTTGTTAGGAAAACGCTTAGCTTGAGGAAAATACTCTAGGGGATTTAACAGGCAGAAAATGTGAACAAATCGGGAATTTGACCCTCAGCATTATTATCATTACTGTTGTTAATCTTTTTTATCGATCCCGGTGCACACAAACAAATACACACACACACACGCACACACACACACACACACACACACACACACACACACACACACACACACACACACACACACACACACATATCCACTCTCACACACACACCATTGTCCGCCATACTATTATCAAAGCATGAAACTCCAACAAAACAAAACAAAACAAAACTAAACTCTACCACATGTACTAAAGTGCACGTCACTCATGACACTTTTCTATATTTAGTAAAACAAAAAATAAAAAACAAAGACACCCCCTCCCCCAATCCCGTCTTTTTCCAACCGGCTCTTGTCTCTGCCAATGTCCTTCCTTGAACCTACTTAATAATAATACTAGATACCATACAGCGCTAATCCCCGCTCAACAGCAAGCTCTGTGCGCTTCACAATCTATACTATTACGGTACTATTACCCCAGCAGACCTGAGAGCATTCTGAAACAACCTTAACTTCTTGAGAAGCATACAGTGAAAGCGGCCATTTATAGGCGCTAAAACACTAACATACTGACTAGATCTTTCGCTGTCTATGGCCATGTACCCATTCCCACCTAAGTAAAGTGAGGACAATTGGTGTACAGTGCCTACTTGCTGCCGACCTGAGAGGTTTAGAGGTCACCTTCGGTGGACCTAGCCTGTAGTCCCCAAACTTGCAGCCGTCATCAAAGACACCACCATCACTGTAGATAGAGTCAGCTGATGGCTAGAGAGAGAGCGCTTGTGTTTATGCAACATCAGGCGTGAAGAAATAGCACATTAGCTCGGGCTTCTTCCTATGGGGTTTTTTTTAAAAATTCCTTATATGTTTTTTCCCTTATAAACGTTAGATTGCAAAGCTCTTAAAAAAAAAACGGTTTTGTTAATTAAATAGTACCGAGCTACTACACAGCACAACTATCTTTCCTTATAGATTCTAGACATATCGGTATGAATACGTTGTGGCACATGCACATGTGCGTGCAATTTGTACTTTAGTCCTGTTTGCCTGTTACTACCTAGACGTTAATGGGCTTTTTTGTGTGTCACTTACAGTCGAACCTGCCATGACGGCCACCTGTAAAATACGGCTACCTGTACAAGCGACCATTTTCAATCCCCCCCCTCCCCGTTGCGTTTTTAGAAAATATATAATTTCACTATGTAAAATGGCCACCTGTCCATCGCGGCCGACAACAACAAAAAAAGCCTGTATTAGAAGGCCATGCATAAATCTCTCATAGCTCAAAACTTTGTCAAAAATTATAAATGGGCTCCTGACGCTGTGGACGAGCCGTCATAATCCTTTCACCTGTCGTTATTACTTGATCTAGTCCCTTGAATGAATGTTGCTTAGGTCGCTTCCAATGTTTACCCAAGTTGACCGATAGGTAACACTGAATTTTCAAGTGCTGGTGAGGGAAGCGTGTGGTCCGTCATAACCTATAGAGACCCAAGCCCCGCCCACAACTCATGTATACACAAATCGTATTTGAGAAGAGCGGTCCCTTTTTTGCCCAGTCCATAACAATGGACACGTCAACACGAACTCGCAACAGAAATGTCGCTCATTCGTAGAGTGGTGGCGACCCATGTGTTTGTTTCATTCTGGTCCGCGCTCATCCTCGCCTGACACATTTCGGTTTGTTTTAACCTTGCAGGAAACCAACGTTGGAAGCAGAAAAAAATAGCAGTTAAAAGATCCCACCTGGCCATTACCAGGGCTATTCTTTGAATCTTTCTTCCTAACCTGTACCGGGTACCGTAGTCTGGCTGACATTTGAGACACCACCTTCCCCTATCTCGTAGTCTGATTGACATTTAGAGAACCATTACCTTCATCTGTCTCGTAGAATTTGCAACCAGCTTCTTCTACTCCTCACTGCTCTCAGCTATCAGTAGTGCTAGTCACGACTTGTCCATTCTTTGATGTTGTCTTCCAATCGTTTCCTGGGTCTACCTCTCCGTCTCCCTCCTTGTGCCTTCCCCAGTAGGATAGTCTCAATCGTGTGGTGTCCCACTACAACTTCAGCTTGCGTCTTTCCACTCAGGCCAGGGGTTTTTCATTTCACCCGATTGTATTTCCAATTCTGGTTCTCACTTTCTTATTGGTTTTGTGATCTCTTTACGAGATGGCGTGGAGCTTGTTCTTCATGTAATGTTTCTGAGGCAGTGTAGCATGGCAGAGCCCAAACCTCCGAATGTCAGACCACCAGATAAACAACTGAAAGCACATAACAAGTAATAATATCGTTTGTTATCTGACCCCCCCCCACCCCACAGGCACACAGACCTAGAGATGTACACCAGCAAACAGCCCATGTCCACAACCCTGGTCGGCGTCAACTCACAGTCCAATAAACGACAAGTGAGGCAAAGGTTTCTCTCTGTCTGTCTCTGTCTCTCTGTGTGTCTCTCTCTCTATCTGTCTGTCTGTGTCTCTCTCTGTGACTGTCTGTGTGTGTCTCTGTCTATCTCTCTCTCTCTCTCCCTCCCTCTCTCTCTCTGCCCCCCTCCCTCTCTCTCTCTCTCTCTCTCTCTCTCTCTCTTGCTCTCTCTCTTTCTTTCTCCGTACTTTATCTCCTTGCCTCCATCTGACAACCTTCTCGTATGCCTTCATTAGTTTCTGTTTTAGCCTTTTTAGTCTTGTATTCGTCATTAGGATTATTTTTATCTATATTTTTGTGTGTACGTGTTCGTATGTTTGTTTGTTTGTGTTTTTGTTTCTTTTTAGCATTTCTCCTTGATGCGTTTTTTTTTTTTCGCCTATAAAAAGAACCACTGCTCAATAGACAGAGGTGCAACTTCTGTAACGTTACACATTTCCCATTGACACCCGGTCAACCTTCACAAGCAAGGTCGAAGCAGCCCACCGTCTGGGTGATCAAAATAATTTTATCGATGGGGGCGAGGACAAAAATCACAAACAAAACTAAATGCCATGTCCCAGTCTGTTTTTGTGTCTCAGATCATGTCTCAACTGTCTATTGTGTCCAAAGATCAAAATCTCAACTGTCTGTTGTGTTCACAGATCAAAATCTCAACAGTCAGTTGTGTTCACATATCAAAATCTCAACTGTCTGTTGTGTTTACAGATCATACCTCTGTCTCAACTGTCTGTTGTGTTTACAGATCATACCTCTGTCTCAACTGTCTGTTGTGTTCACAGATCATGTCTCAACTGTCTGTTGTTATTTTCATTGATTACGTCTCTGTCTTAAATGTCTGTTGTTTTCTCAGTTCATGTCTCAACGGTCTGTTGTTGTGTCTCTGATCATGTCTCAACTGTTTGTCTCTCATGCCCACAGATCAGCCCCGATCAGGCCGAGCTGTCTGTCTTAGTCTTAGTCTGTCTCAACTGTCTGCCGTCTGTTAGAACTGTCTGTCTTGCCCACAGATCAGCCCCGATCAAGCTGAGCGGCTGGCCTCCCAGCTAGACATGCAGTACCTTGAACTTGACCTCTCCCCGACCCGGAAGTCGCTGAGCGCCGTGAAGATCCTGGAGTCTCTGATTGGCCGGATCATCCTGCACGCCTCCCGCCTGCCCTCGCTCACCATCGACATCATCCCTCACCAGCTCAAACAACACCTGGAGGACTTGCACAAACACGCGCTGGAAGAAGGACAACCCAACAAGTTCAAGTGTTCTTGCTAGTTTTCGTTGTAGTAACTGTTTTACGGCTACTTGCAACACAATAAGGTCATGTTATAAGTGCCGGAATTAGAGGTGTTGTTACAAGAGACGTCTCTTTCTTCCCGCGACACCCACAATGGTATAAGCGGAGGATAAAAGGCAAAAAAGGGTTACAAGAGAGAAACAAACGCAAAATAGAAGGAGGAGAGATCAGGGGGATAGATGTTTGATAGGAAAGAAGGAGCAAACCACACAAGACCACCCGCCAACCACCCACAATGTTCCTGCTTAGTCTTGTCCAGTTTGTGGATAGAACCCAGAGATCTTGTCGCCTCATTTGGAAAGTGGCTGTTTCTTTGCTCGCCTGTCGAGTGTTAATGGAAAGAAAGTGGGAGGGTGGGGAAATAGGGAGAAGCAACCCAACAAGTTCACAAATGTACTTGCAGACTCATGCGGAATTTGTGGGTGGAGATCTTTTCGTCTCACGAGGAAAGTGGCTCGTTGCTTCGTTCGGCTGTCGAGTTTTGATGTCAGAGGAGGAAAAGAAACATAAAGAAGAAAATAAATCTGAAAGGGACACAACCCGAAGAATTAGAATGCTACTTTGTGACTTCCTAAATGATTGTGTCCCATGAAATTGAACAATCTATTTCTTCCACTTCGTTTATGTAAAACGTAAAAGAACAGGATAGTACAATATGAATAAATCATTTTGTCCTTGAATGCTACGAGGCTGTTGACACATGGCTCCCATCATGAGGTAACGGTAAAATGTGTATGATTCTGTCAGTGGAGTCACGGAAAAGCGTAGAGTTGTGCGATTATAAATACATGACATAATGGTCAACGAAAAGTAGACTGGGAATTCTTTGTCAAACACAAACATAACAGATTCTTGTTAAACATAACAGATCTTTGTACAACATAACAGATTCTTATTAAACATAACAGATCTTTGTACAACATAACAGATTCTTGTTAAACATAACAGATCTTTGTACAACATAACAGATTCTTGTTAAACATAACAGATCTTTGTACAACAAAACAGATCCTTGTTAAACATAACAGATCTTTGTACAACATAACAATAACAGATTCTTGTCAAACAAAACAGATTCTTGTTAAACATAACAGATCTTTGTCAAAATTAACAGATCTTTGTCAAAACAGGTCTTAGTCAAACAGAACGGCCAAACGTAACAGATCTTTGTCAAACATAACAGATCAAGCTACTAACAAAGGAATGCGTGCTCTTCCAAGTGCCACAAAGTGTTTGTTTGATAACTTAACAAAGACCAGGGATAGTAAGAAACAAAGTAATAGACAGGCTGATATGTTGGCGAAAGCAAAACTGACAACATGGCGAGGAGCGAGTCAATCAACAATTATAACCTGCAGTCAGTGAACAATTATATCCTGCCGTCAGTCAACAATTATAACCTGCCGTCAGTCAACAATTATAACCTGCAGTCAGTCAACAATTATAACCTGCAGTCAGTCAACAATTATAACCTGCAGTCAGTCAACAATTATAACCTGCAGTCAGTCAACAATTATAACCTGCAGTCAGTCAACAATTATAACCTGCAGTCAGTCAACAATTATAACCTGCAGTCAGTCAACAATTATAACCTGCAGTCTGTTCTCAGTCGTTCTCTGTGTGTTTGCTCCACACTAATGGCTGCCAGAGAGAAACACGTCATAATGTTTTACCAAACCCTGAGAGTTGAGCTTGGCGCGCCTTTTCTGTCTTCTCAACTAGATCTAGCTAGTTACATTCGTCATAATACATTTGTGATGATTTTTTTCTGTCTTCTCGTGTAGTTAGATACATCCATCGCAATACATGTATTGGTAGCCTGTTCTATCTTCTCACCTAGTTACACTCATCATAGGTCACGTATTGATGGCCTTTGTCTGTTTTCACATGTAGTTAGTTACATACTTCATGATAATATATGTATTTATAATTTTTTCTGTCTTCTCGTGAAGTTTGTTACATTCATCATTATTAATGTACATTTATTTATGGCTTTTTCTGTTTTCTCATGTAGTTAGTTACAGTCTGCACAATATCATATATGTATTGATGATTGTCTTCTGTCTTTTCATGTAGCTAGTTACATTCGTCATAATACATGCATTGATGATTTTTTTCGTTTTTTCATTTAGTTAGTTACATAATTTGTTCATAATACATATATTTGCAGCCTGTTCTATCTTCTCATGTAGTTAATTCATCATAATATATGTACGATGACCATTTTCTGTCTTTTCTCAGCTAGTTACATTCTTCATAACACATGTGTTGATAGCCTCCAACTCAAAACTACTACTGTGTGTTGTGGTTTGGTAGGAACTTATTGTTTTCAGGGATTGCACAAGGCGTACAAATATCTTGTTATATTAAACATCCCATACCTTCCACTGGCTTTGTGAGTGTATGTGATTTGTTGAGTATATTATTATGTGTTTGTTGCTTTTTTAAATTTGTTTCTTAGGGTTTTTACTTGTTTGTTTGTTAGTCTTTAGTGTGGTTTTTGTTTGTTTGTTTGTTCATTTGTTTGTTTGTAAATATCAACCAGCAACTGGGCACAGTGGTGATTAGGTTGATATAATATTATGGATGATGATTGTAGCTTGTTCTATCTTCCCTGTGTGATTACCTTTAAGCGTTGTGACATGAATGTACGCACTTTGATTTTTACAGCTAGTGTAGATCTAGTCATTTATATTTTGAATGTTCCTGAAGAAGCCCATAGAGGGTGAAACGTTGAACGTGTCATTAAATATTTTGGAAATACTTCCAGGTTTTAATCGTTTTACTATCCTGTTATAATGATGGTGATGATGATGATGATGATGATGATGATGATGATGATGATGATGTTGATGATGATGATGATGATGATG